TGCTGAAATCTCTCCAGTCTCAGTCTTCCCTTCAATAATGAAACGTCCTATGCAGAATAATGATTCCTTGTACAATATTTGTAAGAAAATGATGGCTAGGACCACCAACTAGATGTATCTTTTAGGCTGAAGTACTTTGGACCATCATCAAATTTGCCTGGGAATAGATATGGCAAAGAATGGTGGAAGTGTATTGAAAGGAATCACAAATCAGATACAAATAAAGACACACTTGGAAGAGGAAAAAGATTTTAATAACAAGACTAAATTAAAGGTTTTGATTAAAATGGCAGTTGTAATTCTACATATTAAAGACAGCTAGTCTTTGTCAACCTAGATTTGTAATATTGGTGAAAGGCTACCATACAACTCTATGACATGTCTCAGTTCTGCACAACATAACATAAAGGTTTCTGGTGACTAACACTAATTGAATTTCCTGTTACAAAAGTTCTTTTTTGTTTGTTTACTGAAAAATTTACTTGAAGTATATTGGTAAAAAAAATAAAAATTACCAAGTCATGTCAAACATTATCTAAAAAAAATTAAAACTGAAACTCCTGTTCCATAAGTTGCCCTGATTTTCTTTGCTAAAAATGCTATAATATGTTTGAGGGAACATTACACGAATTTTTTTTATATTTTGTTCTCATATTCACTACAATAGAAACCCTTTCCTTTTAAAAAGAAAATTATTTTAGCAAGGTTTTTATTAGAATGATTCTGAGGTAAAGGATCCTATTATGCATTCCTTCTTCGAAATAAATTCTGAAAAGCTTCTTTCTGAAAAAATTTCTTTCTGAAATTCTGAGGCATCTGACAGCTGGCACACTACCTGTACACTTCTCCTCTCATCATCTCATTCCAAAATAATCATTTGAGAAACTAAACCGAGTTTCAGTATTACCGAGTTCAAACAGATGCAAATTCTCCATTATTGTAATAAATGAACTAGGTTCATTTTCTTGGTACACATTGTATGTTAGTGGACTTAAATGTAATATGTTACTTTGAAAATTGTTTATTTCTAAATGAGCTATTGTAAAAAAAAGAGAAAATACAAGTGTGTAATAGTATTTGAAAGCCTTTACAAATTGTTGGATGTACATCATGCTTCACCCACTGCAAATCTTGGCGACAGAAATGGAAACCATTAGCAAAACACTAAAACAAAGCTGAAAACTGCTGATTATCAGTTTGCCACTGTCTTCAGATTTAATGCAGTAGTTGGCTCAAAAAGTTCTTTAAAAATCCCCAATATAAGTGAAAATATTTACAAAATAGAATGTCTCTCACTTAATGCCTATTGGGCAATAGTCTTTTAAAACTCCACAGACACTTGTAAATCTGTCAAAAGAATCACTTCCCATAAACAAACTTTCATGTAAAGAGCATTTCAGTGTCAATCAGACAGGATTTGTAATTTTTTAAGCACCATTTTTAAAGTAAATGCAAAACCAGAAATAGTTTAATGCTGATAGCAGTAAATTACTAACTATTTACTCACCAAAACCCACCAGTAGCATTTACAGGAATGATCCTGACAGTGAAGCCAAGTATCAACACCACGAATTTCTATAAACCTGTCACTGACACTATGGCCCATGAGTTATGTCACTGTGAAAGCTGCCAGCCCCAACCCCACCACCGCTTGTCTGTTATACTGCAAAACTTGCTATTTTATTTTCTTGTTATAACGTAGGCTTATCTTTGACAGGAGGGTTGCTATTTTATAATTCTTTCTTAGAATGCTTATCTTTTATGTTTCAAAGGGGATTTGAAACCATACTGCAAATGAATTCAATGTAGCACTAAATAACCCCAAAACTCTATATGAGAGGACCCATGATTTGTTACAGTGCAGAAGCCTGTCGCACTACCTGGGCCTGTATACTTGACTAAGAACTTAATAAAGTTCAGATGAAATGCACAAATTTAAATTATTCAGCAAGTGCTATATAACTTCCTCATGATTTAGTGTGGTTGGTTTTGCTTTATTACATTTTCTTGCAAGCAACTTTCCAAGTTAAACAAAAAGTTACAGGAGATGCACGTTTACCCGTTGGACACTGTTGCAGGATTTGCTTATATCCTCTTGTTATTACGTGCAACGTAGATACATATTTACTGCAGGTACACACACAAGAATGTTAGCGTTATTACAATCCATTATATCTGTGCCATTCACAGCTCTTGTGCTTATTTCTAACCCTGCAAGTAAATGTTTCTTTCCAGATAGAATTTTAAATAAATGTGGAGAAGGGAAGAAATTTATCTGGATTCCTTTGGAGTACAGTATAAGAATTTTGACAACTTCTAACTGCAAGTGATTAAGCTGCTACTGACTCAGAACTAAGTTTCAGAGACAGTATTTTACAGAGAGAGAAATGCCATGAAGGAGGTGTGAGGTTTTCTGAGACAAAAGTCTGAGAAATACGTAGAAGAGTACCAAATTGTGGTGGTAATCTGTTCTCAAGTTTCATTTTTATTGTCTTAAATAAAAGTCAATAATTTAATGCAAAAAAGCGTTAGCACACATAAAACTAAATACACCATTCTAACCTATTGATTACTTGCATATTTACTGTTCCGGCATTTACTGGATTTATTTTTAGCTAATTTAGAAAAGGAAAGGTGCTTCTATGCACAATTATCTTCTTTACTCATTAATAATTCAGTATTCTTAAAAAG